TGTTTTTGCTAAAACAAAGTTCTGCTGCCCAAATTATTTCGGCTTAATGACCTAATTTTGGGTCGGATCAGGGAAAACAAAATTTTAACACACCTTTCCGCACGTTTCAAGTTGGTTGTAAGTTTACCAATCGGTTTGAAATTTATTTTTTTTCGTTATGGAAAATTATTTCCAATTTTATAAGAAAAATTTTAATTTTTCTCAGAAACTCGTGCTGATTTTCAAAAAAGGGGCGTCAATTGAGCCTGCGAGCCTACATACTCCCTTAGAGTGTCTTTCAATTTGACCCTCTGTCTACAGCCTTGGAAAAAATCTGTGGGGCAATATTTGACCCATATTTCTGTGAGGAGTATTTGACCCGTATTTTTGATTTTTTCTTTTCGCTTTCTTGAAAACTACCCCTCTCAATTTTGACTTTCTTGTTTCAATGAATGGAACGTTTTTGAAAAGTTCCTTGCATATGCGGCTATTCCTCCCTTTTCGAAAACTAACCTCTCAAATGTGATTTTGTCGGTTCAGTGGAGAAAATGGGCTTTGGGAAATTCTCTGCAATATATGTCACCCACAGAGTTATCGGCTTTTTGGAAAAGACAAAAGTTTGATTTTTGTACTGTTTTTAAAACTTTTTGAATATTCTCGAAAACTTTGTCTTCAAATCTGAGATTTTGGGTTCAATTTAAAGAACGAGCCAAATCTGAGATTTTGGGTTCAATATAAAGAACGAGTTTTGGGAAGATCATTTGCGTACTCGACTACGTCCAAATTTTCCTGACATCAAACGTTGTGGCCCTCGGAAATTTTGATTTTTTAACTGTTTTTCAAGTTTCGACTTTTCTCGAGAACTACTCTCCCAAATATGAGATTTAGGTCCAATCAAAATTAGATTTTTATGGATTCTTTTTGCCAAAGCGGCTTCAAGCTGTTTTTTTTAAAAAGTTTTTTGGTTCTCGTTAACTATACTGCCAAATCTGATATCACAGGTGTAATAGAAGCAACAGGTTGTTGAAAGCATACGCTCATAAGTGGCTACACGCAGTTTATTTGAGAAAAACAATTCTGGCCTTTAAACAAGTCAGAGTTATGGGTCTTTAACAGTTATTGGAAACTTTTTGGTTTTACTCGATAACTACCTTGCCAATTGTCAGGTTGTGTTCAATCGAGAATCCGGTTTGGGAAATCTTCTCTGCTCAAGCGACCACAACTTGATTTTTGCAGAGAGCAGTTATGGATTTGGAAAAGTTTTTTGTTTTTAAAAGTTACGACCGTTTCTTTAGAAGCTTCTAGAATTTTTTTCCAAATTTTTGCATTCAAATCTGAGATGAAAAGTTCTATTTAAATAAATGGTTGCGATAACTTTCCTGCAGAAGCGGCAACTATTTTTTGAGAAATGTTATCTCCTTCAGGAAATTGGTTGTCAATCTTCCGCACCATCCAGTCGTAAATCCGAATAAGCCGGGTAAGGTGCGCCGAGTCCTTAATGGGGCTTCTAACTTTCACGGCACATCCTTAAATAAGTCCTTATTGGTGGGTCTGGACCTACTCCAGAATTCATTTTTTGTACTTTTGCGGTTCCGTCAACTTAAGTACTCCGTCTCCGCGGATGTACAGGGTATGTTCCTCCAGGTAGGAGTCCTCGCCCGCGATCAAGTTTCGCTCCTTTTTTTTGTGGTAGGAGGATACCACTTCCGATGTGGTAGTTCACCAGTACACTCGCCATATATTCGGCGCGCGGGATTCGCCTACGGGCGCCAATTTCGCGTTGCGAAAAACAGCAACTGATAATATGTCCACATACCCTGAGGCCGCCTCAGTTATAAATGAAAATTTTTTACATGGACGATTACTTCGATTCGTTCGAGAACGTTACCCATGCAATTTAAGTGAGCCTTGATTTGGTTTCGTTACTTAAGTTAGGAGGATTTAATTTGACTAAATTTGTCAGTAATGCTGAAGAAATCACTTCAGCAATGAACCCCGAGGATTGCGAAACCTCGTCTTCAACAATCAAGGAAATGTGTAACGGTGACAACAATCATCACACGTTCTAGGGCTTAAGTTGGACCTTGTGAAAGACACATCGGTTGCTAGCAGAGGCGTGAATCGTCCTCTCGATAAGGCATTAACTCAACGAACCGTCTTGAGTTTCGTCTCTTCTGTGTTTGATCCTGTTGTGTTAGTAGCTCCTTACACCGTTAGGGCCCGTCTGTTGCTTAAAGATATTTGGAAAATCAGTGGCCAAATTTGGGAGGACGAATTGCCGGAAGACATAAGAGATAAAATTCTCGAGTGGCACTCCTGTCTCTCTCTCTCTTTGGGCAATGGACTTTTCCCCGTTGTTATTTCACAGAGCCTGTGGATCAAATTGAGCACCACGTGTTCGGTGATAGCTCGCAGGACGTTTTCTGTGGGGTTGAATTTTTGCGTGCGCGACTCTCGAGTTCGCTCAAAACTCAAATATCCTTCATCTTTGGTAAAACTCGCGTTGCACCCATGAAAGCATTATCTATACCGAAGCTAGAGCCTCAAGCTGCTCTGCTCGCCACACGTCTGAAAAATGATATACTGACCGCCCTTACTGTCTGCAATCATCATGTCTACATGTGCACAGATAGTACTACAGTTTTGCAGCGGCTTAACTCCACTGAAATTTACCTGTATTCGTCGCGAACCGTGTCGGCGAAATCCTCGAATCGACCACTATCGATGGCCATGTTCTGAGCGGTGAAAATCCAGCTGATACCGGTACGCGGGGGATTTCTTCGGAAGCCCTCAAAGATAGCAGCTGGGTTATTGGTCCGAGCATTCTCAGGACTACTGATTGGCCGTTTATACCCGACGAACGTGTAATCAATGAAATTCGTTTAAAAGGTCCTGCTTGTGATGTTGATAATTGCTTGGAGACATCATCTTCCTTCGTCACCGATGTCACATCCATCAAACATCCCGAAAATGGGTTCAATTGGGAAAGGTTCAGTCCTTTACAAGATATAGACGAGTAGTCGCCTTTATGTTGAGGATGCTGCCTTCACATAAGCATTTTCGCGGTAAGGACTTACGAGTCACCGACCCCACTGAACTTGGTTTTGCAGAAAGCAAACTGATTCATCTTGCTCAGATGGAATTCTTCCTCATTGAGTTAAAAACACTCACCGCTGGCAAACCTGTCAAGAATAGTAGTAAAATTGCCACATAGTCACCATTTGTCGGTCCCGCTGGTATCATCCGTTCCATCGGACGGATCGTGCGCTTAGTGAATACCGAGTTTGATACTAAGCACCCAATATTACTCGACGCCCGACATACCCTAGTTCGTTTGTTGGCCCGCAGCTTTCACCACAAGCTTTTTCATCAAGGTTTAGATTACATGCGCTCTGTTTTAAATATGAAATATGCAATACTTGGGTTGCGTCGACTACTTCGGTCAATCGAAAGTCAATGTGTAGCATGCCGTAAAAGCAAAGGAAGTACCATCCAGCCAGTTACCTCCGATTTACCTGTCGAACGTCTCAGGTATAAGCAACCACCCTTTAATCATACGGTTGTGGATTACTTTGGACCGCTTTACGTTCCGGTTTGCTGAAGCACTGAAAAGAGATGGGGATTTCTTTATACTTGCCTCACCACCAGGGCTGTACACCTTGAGATTGTACCATCTCTGGACACTAATTCTTGTGTCATGGGCCTTGAACGGTTCATTGCGCGTCGTGGTACACCAAGCACAATCTGGTCGGATAACGGCACGAACTCCGTTGGTGTGGAAAAGGAATTACTTGCCTGCATCAAGAGCTGGAATGGCATTGCTCCGACCATTTTTGCACACAAAGGTGTTGCTTGGAAATGTAACTCGCCAGGCGCACCCGATCATGGCGGCTCCTGGGAGCGCCTCGTCCGAAGCGTGAAGCGCGTGCTTTACGATATACGAGGCAGTAGGTGAGTCACGGAAGAGGTGTTAGGAACAACACTCTGCTTAGTTGAGCAGGCTTTGAATTCGAGGCCAATCACTCCAGTTAGTACTGATTCACGTGAGTTAGAAGCGTTAACCCCAAACCACTTTTTGCTTGGACAACATGCCACAAGCTTTCCTTCGCTTTTACCTGGGGAGCACTTCGACCACAAGAAAACTTACGTGCGAGCGCAGTCATATGCTAACACGATTTGGTCTCGTTGGCTTCGAGAATATGTTCCCTCACTGAATAAGCGTGTCAAGTGGCACACTCATTCTGACTCCACTCTTAAGACAGTCGATCTCGTGTGGGTGATTGAGACCGATAGTCAGCGTGGGTACTACCCTCTCGCCCGAATCGTCAAGTTAAACTACGGACAGGACGGTTGCGCTCGATCCGCCCTTGTTAAGACCGCAATCCGTGAAGTCACTCGGCCGACAGTTAAGCTTGCTCCGGTTCTTCCTTCTTCAGGGGGGGGGGGGGGGGGGGAGGATTTTGCAACGCAAATGTAAGCGAGAGTATAAATGCATATAAAACCAAGTTGAAATGTATATGCCATTTGTCAGTAGAAATCATGAATGCTTAATTTTAACTCATGAATGAGAGCGTGGAGTTTTGAAGCAAAAAAACAACCCAAATACTGACCAATAATCAGACCAATGCAATGTCCCCACGTTTTCTATCAGGTTATTCGGTTTCTAAAATCAAATCGGCTACTTCCGGCACTGCAGAGGTATCATATTGGGCGAATCTCGTGGCTACTAGAGCTTTTATTGTTTTAAAAGAAGACTTGTTTGTTTACTAAAAAACTTGCAACCGTGATGGGGTTGGTTTGCCTTGACACGAGCTGTATTGTTATATTTTAAATTAAATTTATTGTCTCTAATTGATTGACAGCTTGAACAGTGAAATTAGCAAGGCTCTTTTTCCTTTCCACACCTCCCATTTGAAACGCTTTCATGGCGTAACAATTGGTTTTACTTGTTAAGGAGTGCATACCAATTATGCGTAGACTTTGTCTGCTGAAATGTCTGCAGAATTTTCAGGTTTAGAGAAGAGGAAAAAGAACCTTAAGCAACTAAGTGTAGTTTAGCAGTTGGGTGCTTTTGTGGTGGTCGTGTTGAGTTCGTAATCCGTCTCACTTTCAATCTCATCTAGTGGAATTGAGGTATTCTCCGCTTTCTTCAGATATTCACATGCTTCCAGACATTCTGCCTCTAATCACATACAGTTTTTGCCATTGTAGGGTTCTTTTGTTCCTACGTTGGTTTTCTCTTAAATTAGGTGTACACTAGCTTGTTTAAAACGGCTTAAAGTTGCAATAAAAAAACGTCAGCGCGAACCAGTACAACAATTCAACGTCAGCAACAATTCTTACATCTGATTTCAATTCCATTGCTAGATGAAGCTGAAATCTTGCGTGTTGCTCAGATAATTAATCACACATCCCTGTTTCAACCAAGTTCCCTGAGAAGCCTTAGTTTTTATGCAAACTCGTACTTAATTATAATACAAACTCAAAACGTTTTATGTTTTGAGAGGGAAAAATTGAGTTTTTTACCGGTAAATGAAAAATTGCCCTGTCTTAAGTTGCTTTGAAATTTGTTGCTCAAGTTAATAATTTGGGGAAATAGATTTTTCTTTCAAACCCTTTTTGAAATTAATTTTTGCAATCCGAGTCAGACTAGAAAGGTTCTTACTTAAGACCAAACTGGATCCAAGATGTAGGTTGTACCTGAATTAGGGCGAGAAACAGTTGGTGCTGACTCTTTGTGTGGCAACGGGGGGGGGGGGGGGCAAGTGAGTAGTATCTCATGTACCTTTGCGGTATTGGTTCTTTTTGAAGATGGAGAAGCAGTCTGTGAGAATACACTTGTTGAACTCCTCCTCCCACATCCAGAACTGTGTCCCTTCACAGGGTATTCTGCGCCCATCGAACTCACACGGCAAGTCAATCTCCGTCATGCCATTCCTCCCGCCCACCACTTCCACGCAAATGAGCAGCACAACAGCCACAATTAACATCCCACTAGTCCACTCTCCACTCATAACCAGCACAAGTTAACTACTTAAATCACCAGGCAAACTTGAGCAGTCTAGTAGCTGCGCAAAATGCAAACACTTCGCAAAAGTTGTTCAAGTCCCCGAGATATGACTGACATTTGCTAGAGGCTGCGCCCACACCTTGTTTGCTTTTCATTTCCACTTTTTCAAAATATTATTTTTTGATTCCATAACAGAATCGAGTGAAAAATTGCGTCCAAAATTGTCGGAATAATAATGCCATTAACATTTTCATGACACCAGAATTTGACATTTGAAAAAAAACTTAAGTTCTGGGCCAGTTTTATTGTGAATACAAGATATGCGTCTTGCAATGTGACTATTTGAACAACTATCTTTTCATATGCTATCTTTCATCTATGCTTGCATTTCGCGTTCGTCCGTTGTTGTTTTTCAGCAGAATTATAAATAATAGATATAATTGAACAGCAACGATCAATTGTACTCTGTTGTGTGTTTTTGTTCTTTTTGGAAGAATAAGGACAGACTGAATGTGGGAGCATAGCTTCTCCATCATGTGTCCATCTGTATAGCCAGGTCAGCCCATTACACTCTCAATGCACTCACATAGTGGCATGAATTTGGATAGAAGAGAACGAAATGGACAAATGAGTTTCCACAGTACAGTTAAGTGCAGTTGGACATTTCGGTCAAGTAAAATATTCGAAAACGTTTCTGATCTCTGGAGAAAAGGTTTCCCTCATACTTTAAGTGCTATTTGGCAGAGTATTGATACAACATATTAGCTGGTGTTTACCCATTTCACTTTGAGTCGAAGCTCTCCTGAGTTTGTCTGCTCTTAATTCAAATTGTGTTTGCATTTTTCGCAATTGGTCTTCCTTATTACACAACGAGCTTCAGCGAGTTCAATGTAGTCGTACGACTATTCTTTTTCCAACCTAAGTCGCCACTCTTGGTGACATTTTTTGACCTGGCTGCTTTGGCAGTTTGATAGCATGCCTGCAGTGACAAACTTGAGATTGAAATTGATTTTTATGCAGATAATGTAATATAGAAATTGATTTACGATAGCCCATTTAGATACGTACATGGATTTCGAATGGACTAAATGGATTTATACGTAAGAAAGAAATCAATTTTATTGCAGTGGATTTAAATGGACTTTCGAAAGGTTGTGAAAATCTGCATAATCTCAACAAAACTGATTCAACTTAACTCTTTTTTTGTTAAGCAAATTTGAGTATTCAAGAAAATCTCCATCAGAGCTACAGGGAGCAAGAGCCACTCGAGCAAAGTTTTTAACCGCAAACTATTGCGTTTAAGGGATTCCTTCCCAAATTGTGCAAAAGTAAGGGTTCCCCTCGCAGTGAGATGTAAAATTATGTAAAACTTATTCAAATGTCACTTTCATTATCAACATTCCAGGCTCATTTTTGTTAGGCAAATGACCCATAAATAAAATTTTTAAAATCAGAAAATTTTTTTTGGTGCAGAAAATTTACATACTAATTATCCTCGTAGTTTTTTTCAGGCCAAACATCAAAACAAAAGTCAATCGAAAAGCAAACGTTAAAATTTTTTTCCACTATTTCTCTATGGTTCGATAGTTTCGGAAATCTGAATATAACCCAGCCACTGAGGGTGTTTTATTTGGTTTACCCTCAGTGCCGGTCCCAAGCCTGGATAAATGGGGAGGGTTTCACGTCAGGGAGGGCATCCGGTGTGTAAAACCCCCGCTTCACTTAACTATGACAGCACAAAACCAGCCAATGGCCCTCAGTCCCCAGCGGCCCTTAAATGGGCAGAGGATGCTAAGAGTCCCTGGGTTAAACAGCCGTACACACGATCATAGAGAAGGACTCAAGTTGAAGGTGTGTACTGTAAACGTGGGTACAGTAAGACCTCAGGTACAGTAGAGGTCAGCGAGTTCTGCTACCTGGGGAACATGCTGCACTCTGAAGGAGGAGCTGAAAGAGCTGTCAGACACAGGATCTACGTTGCTTGGTTTAAGTGGAGGGAACTGAGCAGCTTGCTATGCAATGCCACCGTCCCTATGAAGCATCGGGCAAGGGCATTAAGTACCTGCATACGCTCAACCATCTTGTATGGAGCTGCAACATAGGCACTCACACATAGAGAAGAACAGTTATTATAGAGATGTGACCGCCGGATGCTCAGAATGGTCTGCAATGTGTCGCTGTCAGACCGAATGCCAAGCTCAGAAACCCTCAGAAGATATGGTCTAGAGGATATTTTGCTGGTCATAACGAAGCGAAGATTGACTTGGTTTGGCTACATCCACAGAAGACAAGATAAAGATAACCCGCTAAGGAAAATCTTGCACACAGAGGCACCAGGTCGCAGACCAAGAGGATGACCCAAGAAAACCTGGAAAGAGTGCCTCAAGCAAGATATGGCAGCCACTGGTGTACACGAGACTGCAGCTGAATACCGAGCTGAATGGAGAGCTGTCATAACCGTCTAACCTCTTTAGAAGGGACAAGAAGACGCTAAAAGGAAATGTAATGTAATGTATAGGCATTAAGTCTCAAATTTTGTTACACGAAAGGCTTTGATTCTCGGAAATGTCAATTTTTTGTTGACCGTGTTTTGGACTTTTCTCGATAAGCATCCTGCCGAGTTTGGTATCATACTGGTTTAATCGATCCAACAGTTTGTTAACCTTATAATTTCGTTTGCTCAGTTTCTTTTAGATAAAGTTATGGCCTTTAAACAAGTGAAAATTTCAAAGTTGGACTGTTTTTGAAAGTTTTTTTACTCGACTCGAAAATACCATGTCAGTTCTCAGGTTAGCGTTCAATTTAGAAACCCGCTTTTGGAAATCTTACCCATTTCACTGGCCACGACCTGCATTTAGGAGAAAAAAGTTAACGATTTTGGACAGCCAAGTTTATGAATTTTTACCGCTTTTCAGAAACTTCTAGATTTTTTTGAAAACTAGCCTACAAATCTGAGATGAAAATTCCAATCAGAAGAAGCGGTTGCGCGATTTTTTCCTGCAGAAACGGCTCTTTATTAATTTTTTTTACGAAAAAGGTTAGTTCTTTGAGAAATTTCATAAATCTCAACAATTTTCACTCTTCTGATTTGTTTCAGTTGAGAAACAATTGAGGTTTTTGTAATAAGTCTAATTGGCTCTTTCTCCTTTTACCCCCACCTGAAAATTTTTACATGTAAATTTGTTGACCACATTGTCCGATTGTTATGAAAATTTACATGCAGACTAATAAGGCCACGGCAAACATATTTGGTCTTCATACTCAACCTCGTAAAACCACTCGTTACACTAATAAGTTGAAACTGGCGTGAGGTGAGGGGAAAACGAAAAAGAGCCGTCTAATTTTATAAATTACGCATTTCGTCCGGCATCAGTATGACAATTTCAAAGAATATCGATTGGTTGCCTCCAGCTTTATGTGAGCCCTGGGTCTCTTTCATCGAGACATGAATGTTTTGTTTCACCTAGTTTTTTTCATCGTTTCTCGTTTTTTTTTCGAATTATGCTTTTTCATGATTGTGTTCTATCGCAAGTGGCGCGGAGCTCCGCTTCGCCTCTCTGTTTGAATAATCAGTTGAAACAATTAGCTCAACTTATTCAGCACATGCGCAGATATTCGTATGCTTCGTTTGGAATGTGAGTTAGTCTTTTGTTACCAAACTCCGCAATACTGTTCGTAATGCCCAAAATTTCAGTTTTCTTAAGGATTTTTTTTCAACAAATTTTGTACAGGGATTGCCTGAAAAGGTTTATTAAGTTTGTATGACAACATTTTTTCCAAGATGTCTTGTACCTTATCGTATGAAACGCCTTGTCGTTGAATGAATGTCCTTACGGGTTCTATTTTCAATTTGGTTGTGTATTTAGGACTCGGAGTATCTGCACTCCTACCTGTCCCAGCTGGTGGCCCGCTTTGGCTCCCCTGGCAACATCCGACTGATGAAGAGCAGGTTCCAGACTCTGTGGGGCTCCTCACACCTGCTGCTGATGCAGCTCGCTGGTTACCGGGAGGCCACCACCTTCTGGCCCCAGACTGACTTCGTCATCAACCTCAGCGAGAGCGACGTCCGCATCAGGTCTACCAATTCACTCCATAGAAACAAGTTGAACTTCCACATGCTAACTGTCCATTTCAGGAACCATGGGTGTCAGAAGGGCTTGATTGGTTGAATAAAACCACCATCAAATTACTGAGCTAAAAAGTAGAACTCTATTTCACGCTGAACAAACCAAAAGCGCTGCGTTAAAACATCGATCGGGATAGCTTGAACTAGATATGGCACCAACGATGGTCACGTTTCTTCTAAAACTTCTGAAGTTAATTGAAAGCGAAGCCTTGTTACTCCTAACTGTCGCTCAGCATGCCAACAAAACAGACTTCATCTCACCTTTGCTCTAAACTCTCTACAATCCAATTTTAAAATTTCACCAGGAGAAATTATCTGAACATTAACAGACTTTTCAAAATATGCAATGCGATCTCAGAACAGATTGACGCTATGACAAAACCATATGACGCGCTTTGGACCGAAGTAAGAAAGCACGATTGAATGTCATACTGCATGCATAATGTCCCTGATCTGCTATTCGTTTTAGTTTATGAAGTTCATAAAAATGAAGAAACCAGCTTGCACGTTAAAAAATAATTATTTTTTCTCCAATTAGTGTTCTCATTCTCATAAACTAGTCACTGTTCTTCAGTAAGCAACTCGGCTCACAAAACTGCAAGAAAATTGACCTTGCGTTTTTATGATAGTGGTAAAGCACTCGTCGTCTAGTGGTGAAGCCTAAGTGGTACGTGAAGTGAATTGTTTTTGTTCACGCATGTTTTCGCGATTAAATGTAGTTTCATTGTCTTTTTGACTGAACAAGCTACTATAGTGCAAGCTACAAAGTTGATGGAGACAAAAATTGCTCCGAATTTTACAGGCTCTCTCATGATGCTATTTGATGCTATATGATACGGAACAATATATCGATGGTTATTTCGAGTTGCACAGCAGCTAAATTATCTTAGAACTTCTTTTACCCATTGATTCAGTTTTTTCTCACTTTATTATTCGAAAACAAAACAAAACAAACTTCCCAGACGCCCTTTGTGTCATTTACCATTTGTGTCCTTCCCTCACCCCCTCCTTCCTCTAGTTTATGTCATACATGTGTCTGTTTAGACCGGTGGATGAGCTGGAGGGGATGTTGAGTATGAACAGAGGCATGTCATTCATCACTGGGATGAAGGCGGTAGCCAGGAGTCAGTTCATGAAAAGACAGGGAGTGAACCAGACATTCTACCAGTGCGACGGACACATGTTCAGACTGTCTGCCAGGAGGTACGCTCCCATCAATTCATGCAAACTACATGCAAACTGCTGATGAATTACCAAACACTCATTACTATACCTTCTCAGTAAGCCTAATGACACTGGCAACGCTTCAGCTATTTATTAAACGGAAAAAACTAAATGGGTCCAAGAAAACTATTGAAATTGAAATATTGAAATTTTCAAGCAGTGAAGACAGATAAACTGTCCATAAAAGAATCGTGAAGAATTTCATTTCGGTTGACAAATTTGTATAGAAAATCCAAAAAAGTAACAAAATGAATTGTGATTGCTTCTGTCTGGCTGAAATTTAACTATGATTTAGCAAATTTGTCTGTTTATTCTGTAAACGTTTGAACATTCATTGTTTGAATAGTTTTCACTGACTACATTAAATGTAACGAGTGTGTTTAGGGTACCGTATGGAGTTCGATTCTCAGGGGGCAGTGACTGGTTCGTGTTGGCACGCAACTTCATAGACTACTTGCTACATGCTCCCCCCGAGGACCAACTGGTGGACCCCCTTAGCAGATTCTACTCTTTCTCACTACTCCCCTCCGAGGTACAATCACAACTATTCTACTCTTTCTCACTACTCCCCTCCGAGGTACAATCACAACTATTCTACTCTTTCTCACTACTCCCCTCCGAGGTACAATCACAACTATTCTACTCTTTCTCACTACTCCTCTCCGAGGTACAATCACAACTATTCTACTCTTTCTCACTACTCCCCTCCGAGGTACAATCACAACTATTCTACTCTTTCTCACTACTCCCCTCCGAGGTACAATCACAACTATTCTACTCTTTCTCACTACTCCCCTCCGAGGTACAATCACAACTATTCTACTCTTTCTCACTACTCCCCTCCGAGGTACAATCACAACTATTCTGCTCTTTCTCACTACTACCCTCCGAGGTACAATCACAACTATTCTACTCTTTCTCACTACTACCCTCCGAGGTACAATCACAACTATTCTACTCTTTCTCACTACTCCCCTCCGAGGTACAATCACAACTATTCTACTCTTTCTCACTACTCCCCTCCGAGGTACAATCACAACTATTCTACTCTTTCTCACTACTCCCCTCCGAGGTACAATCACAACTATTCTGCTCTTTCTCACTACTACCCTCCGAGGTACAATCACAACTATTCTACTCTTTCTCACTACTACCCTCCGAGGTACAATCACAACTATTCTACTCTTTCTCACTACTCCCCTCCGAGGTACAATCACAACTATTCTACTCTTTCTCACTACTCCCCTCCGAGGTACAATCACAACTATTCTACTCTTTCTCACTACTCCCCTCCGAGGTACAATCACAACTATTCTACTCTTTCTCACTACTCCCCTCCGAGGTACAATCACAACTATTCTGCTCTTTCTCACTACTACCCTTCGAGGTACAATCACAACTATTCTACTCTTTCTCACTACTCCCCTCCGAGGTACAATCACAACTATTCTACTCTTTCTCACTACTACCCTCCGAGGTACAATCACAACTATTCTACTCTTTCTCACTACTCCCCTCCGAGGTACAATCACAACTATTCTACTCTTTCTCACTACTCCCCTCCGAGGTACAATCACAACTATTCTGCTCTTTCTCACTACTACCCTCCGAGGTACAATCACAACTATTCTACTCTTTCTCACTACTACCCTCCGAGGTACAATCACAACTATTCTACTCTTTCTCACTACTCCCCTCCGAGGTACAATCACAACTATTCTACTCTTTCTCACTACTCCCCTCCGAGGTACAATCACAACTATTCTACTCTTTCTCACTACTCCCCTCCGAGGTACAATCACAACTATTCTGCTCTTTCTCACTACTACCCTTCGAGGTACAATCACAACTATTCTACTCTTTCTCACTACTCCCCTCCGAGGTACAATCACAACTATTCTACTCTTTCTCACTACTACCCTCCGAGGTACAATCACAACTATTCTACTCTTTCTCACTACTACCCTCCGAGGTACAATCACAACTATTCTACTCTTTCTCACTACTCCCCTCCGAGGTACAATCACAACTATTCTACTCTTTCTCACTACTACCCTCCGAGGTACAATCACAACTATTCTACTCTTTCTCACTACTACCCTCCGAGGTACAATCACAACTATTCTACTCTTTCTCACTACTCCCCTCCGAGGTACAATCACAACTATTCTACTCTTTCTCACTACTCCCCTCCGAGGTACAATCACAACTATTCTACTCTTTCTCACTACTCCCCTCCGAGGTACAATCACAACTATTCTGCTCTTTCTCACTACTACCCTTCGAGGTACAATCACAACTATTCTACTCTTTCTCACTACTCCCCTCCGAGGTACAATCACAACTATTCTACTCTTTCTCACTACTCCCCTCCGAGGTACAATCACAACTATTCTACTCTTTCTCACTACTCCCCTCCGAGGTACAATCACAACTATTCTGCTCTTTCTCACTACTACCCTCCGAGGTACAATCACAACTATTCTACTCTTTCTCACTACTACCCTCCGAGGTACAATCACAACTATTCTACTCTTTCTCACTACTCCCCTCCGAGGTACAATCACAACTATTCTACTCTTTCTCACTACTCCCCTCCGAGGTACAATCACAACTATTCTACTCTTTCTCACTACTCCCCTCCGAGGTACAATCACAACTATTCTGCTCTTTCTCACTACTACCCTTCGAGGTACAATCACAACTATTCTACTCTTTCTCACTACTCCCCTCCGAGGTACAATCACAACTATTCTACTCTTTCTCACTACTCCCCTCCAAGGTACAATCACAACTATTCTACTCTTTCTCACTACTACCCTCCGAGGTACAATCACAACTATTCTACTCTTTCTCACTACTCCCCTCCGAGGTACAATCACAACTATTCTACTCTTTCTCACTACTACCCTCCGAGGTACAATCACAACTATTCTACTCTTTCTCACTACTACCCTCCGAGGTACAATCACAACTATTCTACTCTTTCTCACTACTCCCCTCCGAGGTACAATCACAACTATTCTACTCTTTCTCACTACTCCCCTCCGAGGTACAATCACAACTATTCTACTCTTTCTCACTACTCCCCTCCGAGGTACAATCACAACTATTCTGCTCTTTCTCACTACTACCCTTCGAGGTACAATCACAACTATTCTACTCTTTCTCACTACTCCCCTCCGAGGTACAATCACAACTATTCTACTCTTTCTCACTACTACCCTCCGAGGTACAATCACAACTATTCTACTCTTTCTCACTACTCCCCTCCGAGGTACAATCACAACTATTCTACTCTTTCTCACTACTCCCCTCCGAGGTACAATCGCAACTATTCTACTCTTTCTCACTACTCCCCTCCGAGGTACAATCACAACTATTCTACTCTTTCTCACTACTACCCTCCAAGGTACAATCACAACTATTCTACTCTTTCTCACTACTCCCCTCCGAGGTACAATCACAACTATTCTACTCTTTCTCACTACTACCCTCCAAGGTACAATCACAACTATTCTACTCTTTCTCACTACTACCCTCCGAGGTACAATCACAACTATTCTACTCTTTCTCACTACTCCCCTCCGAGGTACAATCGCAACTATTCTACTCTTTCTCACTACTCCCCTCCGAGGTACAATCACAACTATTCTACTCTTTCTCACTACTCCCCTCCGAGGTACAATCACAACTATTCTACTCTTTCTCACTACTACCCTCCGAGGTACAATCACAACTATTCTACTCTTTCTCACTACTCCCCTCCGAGGTACAATCACAACTATTCTACTCTTTCTCACTACTCCCCTCCGAGGTACAATCGCAACTATTCTACTCTTTCTCACTACTCCCCTCCGAGGTACAATCACAACTATTCTACTCTTTCTCACTACTCCCCTCCGAGGTACAATCACAACTATTCTACTCTTTCTCACTACTCCCCTCCGAGGTACAATCACAACTATTCTACTCTTTCTCACTACTACCCTCCGAGGTGCAATCCCAACTATTCTACTCTTTCTCACTACTACCCTCCGAAGCTCAATCACAACTATTCTAGTCTTTGTAACTATTACCCTCCGAGGTACAATCACAACTATTCTACTCTTTTTCACTACTACCCTCCGAGGTACAATCACAACTTGTCTACTCTTTCTCACTACTACCCTCCGAGGTACAATCACAACTATTCTACTCTTTCTAACTACTCCCCTCCGAGGTACAATCGCAACTATTCTACTCTTTCTCACTACTACCCTCCGAGGTACAATCGCAACTATTCTACTCTTTCTCACTACTACCCTCCGAGGTACAATCACAACTATTCTACTCTTTCTCACTACTACCCTCCGAGGTGCAATCCCAACTATTCTACTCTTTCTCATTACTACCCTCCGAAGCTCAATCACAACTATTCTAGTCTTTGTAACTATTACCCTCCGAGGTACAATCACAACTATTCTACTCTTTTTCACTACTACCCTCCGAGGTACAATCACAACTTGTCTACTCTTTCTCACTACTACCCTCCGAGGTACAATCACAACTATTCTACTCTTTCTAACTACTCCCCTCCGAGGTACAATCGCAACTATTCTACTCTTTCTCACTACTACCCTCCGAGGTACAATCGCAACTATTCTACTCTTTCTCACTACTCCCCTCCGAGGTACAATCACAACTATTCTACTCTTTCTCACTACTACCCTCCAAGGTACAATCACAACTATTCTACTCTTTCTCACTACTACCCTCCGAGGTACAATCACAACTATTCTACTCTTTCTCACTACTCCCCTCCGAGGTACAATCGCAACTATTCTACTCTTTCTCACTACTCCCCTCCGAGGTACAATCACAACTATTCTACTCTTTCTCACTACTACCCTCCGAGGTACAATCACAACTATTCTACTCTTTCTCACTACTCCCCTCCGAGGTACAATCACAACTATTCTACTCTTTCTCACTACTCCCCTCCGAGGTACAATCGCAACTATTCTACTCTTTCTCACTACTCCCCTCCGAGGTACAATCACAACTATTCTACTCTTTCTCACTACTCCCCTCCGAGGTACAATCACAACTATTCTACTCTTTCTCACTACTCCCCTCCGAGGTACAATCACAACTATTCTACTCTTTCTCACTACTACCCTCCGAGGTGCAATCCCAACTATTCTACTCTTTCTCACTACTACCCTCCGAGGTACAATCACAACTATTCTACTCTTTCTCACTACTCCCCTCCGAGGTACAATCGCAACTATTCTACTCTTTCTCACTACTCCCCTCCGAGGTACAATCACAACTATTCTACTCTTTCTCACTACTCCCCTCCGAGGTACAATCACAACTATTCTACTCTTTCTCACTACTCCCCTCCGAGGTACAATCGCAACTATTCTACTCTTTCTCACTACTACCCTCCGAGGTACAATCACAACTATTCTACTCTTTCTCACTACTACCCTCCGAGGTGCAATCCCAACTATTCTACTCTTTCTCACTACTACCCTCCGAAGCTCA